AAATTCATAATTCCTGAATGTTTGTGATGATATTTTTCTTTATTAATAAAATAAAAATTAACTAAACTTGATTTATAATTACTGTACGTATGATCCTTGCAATGACGTAATATATAATTTGTAAAATATAATTATAATTAATTTTAATAGTTCATTTTAAAATATATATTATTATTTTTTAGTACTTTAGTAGTTTAGTTTTTTTTATTTTCTTTATATTTCTTTTTTTTTTTTTAATCGTACGTACCATTTTATTGATATTTTTATTCACGATAATTTGAAAAAATAAAACTAAACACCTGCCTTATTTGCAAAGTATTTTCTTTCATATACATACTTATTATTGTTATAAGAAAAAGTATGAGAGAGATAGAAAAGAAATAAAGGAAAGAGAGAGAGAACCAAGATAATGCACAACGTTTGGGTATATACATATCGAGTTTACGTATCGATTCCCAACCATTTCGTATATTCCGATTGAACGAATTCCATCGATGCGTTAATAATGACTACGCGGTTCGAGTGGTCTTGATATATTCGTTTCGATTGAAAAACTGACGGATTCCGGATTTACTTCAAAACGAATTTTTATTCCTCAGAAGAAGATGAAAAAGAACAAGATTCATTTATCCTTTTCAATCTCAGCAAATTGAATTTTAAAAATTTGATCTTATAATCTTCATACTACAAACTTACTTAGATAGTACACAACCTTTTGAATTTATATTGGTATATTATATTTTAATATGTTTCTAATAAACTTTTATTAATATTAGATAATTATTTTAATTTTTTTTTTTTTTTTATTTAATTAAGTATTATATTTTGATTTATTTTTTTTTTTTATTTTAAATTTACTTTAATAATTAGAAATAATGTTGGGAATAGTAACATTTCAATATGAGTGTGGGATTTACTTTCTAATTTGTGATAAATGTTTGAAATAAAATTAAACGAGATCAACCAGTTGATGATATTTTTTTTTTTTCTATTCAATTTTATTCGCGTCTGTTGTTTTTTGTATTTTTTTTTTTTTTGTTGGTCAATAGTAGTTTCATATTTTTTTATTTTTTTGTAAATTATTTTAAACGAGATCAACCAGTTGATGAATTTTTTTTCTATTAAATTTTATTCGCACCTGTTGTTTTTTGTATTTTTTTTTGTTGGTCAATAGTAGTTGTTTTTTTTTTTTTTAAATGTGGGTGAAAGAAAAGGTATAAAAAACTAATGATAATAAAAAAAAAAAAAAATAAAAATAAAAAGCTGTAAATACATACATACGTACATACGTAGAAACGATAAATATTCTTACCTACTTTCACTGATCTATTGATCTTAGCGAACAGGTATTCCATTTAACGATCTATACGATCTATTGCTCAATCTCTTGGTAATGTAGTACGTACATACATATATGTATGTGTGTAAGAATACTAACATATGAGACTATCGAAGTGTTACAACGTCGATTACAACAATTTCAAGGATTATTACGAATGGTCACAACGAAAGGGTTCGTTAATCGATAAATCGAATTCTATTCGAATTATTCGATAGAAAACTTGAAACTGTACTAATGAGTCTCTTTTGTTCTCACGCTAGTATTATTCTCTTTTTTTTTTTTTTAATTATAACGTTACAATTATATATATATATATATATATAGATTGATTTCCTACACGTGTTTTACTTTTTCTTTTTATAATTATATTTATAATATAATATAAATATTTTTATAATTATATTATTATATTATAAAAATATATTATATTATATTATAATAATAATTATAAAAATATTATATTAATAATATAATTATAATAATAATTTAATAAATAATTATAATAATATAATATAATGTATTCTTTTTTATTTATAATTATATTTACAATTTAATTTATATTTCTTTTTATAATATCAATTTCTTTTTAATTAATATAATTTGTAATTGAGAAAAAAAAATATTTATTTTTAATAATTTAAAATAATTTATTTGATTATACAAAAAATTATTATTTCTCGTAGAATTTTTTGAGATATTAAAATTATTATTTAAATAATTAACAATTATTAGAAATTTCGTTTATCTAATCTTCGTAATTTTTTTTTTCTTGTTGCTTTTCTTAGAGAAATAAATGTGTTGAGAGAAAATCTAAACAGTTGTCTTAGCAAATGGTGGGTTAGGGATTTAAAAAATAAAATTTGTCTTCATGATAATATCATTTTCATGCGAATGGCACTAACAAGGATAACGAGACAGTACGAAAGCTTTTCTTTATTTTATTTATTCTTTTCCTTCCATCCTTTTGTTTCGAAAGTTAACAACGTGTGTGTTTATATACACACATACACATAGATTCTTATGCAAACCCACGTACGAGCAAAATGTTTTTCCACTAAGATCACTTAAAATAAATATATTTATATTACCAGTTTGAAAGTAAAGTATATAACCTTACTAAGTGCATTTCTTTTTTTCTTTCTTTTTTTTTTTTTTTTCTAAAAAGCAACTTTACCTAGTTTACTCAATTTGTGCTAACGAAAAACTAAAACCTTCAATTGGATGGAAATTAAATTGCTCTTGTCTCATCTTCTTTCTCTATTTCATTTAAAGAAGAAGAAAAATATATGCGTTCATCTTTCTGTGTTTATTTTTCTTCTCTTTACCAAATTTTATTTATAGAAAAATGTTTCTTAAACAAAATTCGTGTTAACTCAGATAATGAGAGTTGGATAAAGAAAATTTTTTTCAAAAAATGTTCTTTTGAAATATACAAATAAGTAATAATAAAATAGGAATACATTGAAAAATCTTTTCTAATTAGAATCTTGTTATTAAAAATTCAATTGATTTAATAACTGGAATTA